GTGAACCATCGTTAAGGAGGCAGAGATCTAAATCATCAATGATGTCTAAGAATGTAGAAGACCAGGGATCACAAAAATGGGAACCCCATAAAGTATGGTGCATATTAAAATCACCAAGAATTACCATAGGAGGAGGGATGGAGGATATAATCCTCGTAAGTTCCGATAAGATATTTATATTAGGTTCGGGAATGTATATAGAAAGGAAAGAAATGTTATGAGCTCTAACTGCAACAGCATTAATTGAAGGACTATGAGAAGGAAGGGAAATTAATGTATAAGTAATTGATTTTGAGATAAGAATGAAAGAGCCAGCATGACCATCACTTCTATCATCCCTGAGACATGAATAGCCTGAGACCCTAAAATGGGAGCCAGGCTTTAGCCATGTCTCCTGGATGGCTAGGATAAGGGGATGGTATTTATTAATAAGATATGTTAGTTCGTTTTTCTTATTTTTAATGCTCCGGCAGTTCCACTGAAGTATTGGAGGGAAGGTTATTTGTTAAGGAAATGAGCTCAGTAAGTTTTTGGCGGAGGGCTAGTGGGAGATCCATGTCGCTGAAACGGGAAAGCATACTTATAAGCATGGAGACCATCAATTCGCAGAGATTATCATTAGGGAAATACTTCGCCCTATTATAGCACAACCATTAGTAGATGAAGAAGGAGGGGTATCTATTATTGCCTCATGGGCAGATTTATCATATCCATGACTAGATGCTGGATTTGGCGAAAGTCTTGGAGTGCATGTAGTCTTCCTGTAAGAATGAGATTGTGAGGGGACAACTGAAGGTAAAGGAGGGTTTGAAATAGGACAGGAAGTCTGATGCTCATATGAAGGAAGGGTTCTAGCAGTATCTGCATAGGATCTACGGACTTGAGGGAAACGAGCAGATGCTTCTAGATAGGAAATATTTTCCTGTGACATTGTGAGTTTGATAGATCGCTGCCTAGAGTGTTCAGGGCAGGAGGGATCTTTAGCTGTGTGAGATCCTGAACAAAAAGGCAAGTGGGAGACTGTCTTGTGCATGATATACCCTCATGATTTTGAGCACACACAAAACAACGGGAAGATGATCTACACTGTGAGGTAACATGTCCAAAACGGCAACATGTGTGACATTGAATAAGTGGTAAAATGTAGGGCTCAACGGGCATTGAGTTGTAAAAACAATAAATATTAGAAGGGAGTTTCTGGCCGGAAAAAGTTAAAAGGACTGTTTGAGAGGGAATCCACACAGTGCTTTGGTTTTCATTAAGTGATTTTCTATTAAATCGGCGAGCTTTAATGATTGGGCCAAAACCAGCTGGGACCTCGATTGATGAAATGAGTTCCTCTAATGTCCATTCTACAGGGACCTGCCTCACTATTCCCATGCGAGTGATACTATAAGAAGGGATTACAGCATCATATTTAGCACCTGCAAGGGCTGGGTTCTCAATAAAGCAATTTGCATCTGCTGCACTTTTAAATTCGACTGAGATTCTATTGCGCCCTACCCGCTTAACACCGTCGCTAACAACATTTTTAATATTATTATGGTAGAGAAAATGACCAAACTTTATCGGTTTTAAAACTACTCCAGATGATAAATCATCTACTATCTTACTTACATGTACAATAAAGGGCGCACTGTCGTTATTAGAGTATTTATGTTTTTTTCAATGTAGTCAGGATGAGTATAAGAGGTCTGAATAGATGGTACAGGTTGAGATGGATCTGTAATTAATCTTTTCTGTGGATGAACTGAGTTATTGGTTGCTTGCGATCTTTTACGATTCGACTGATCGATCTCGATAGGCATATTTTTCTTTTTGGTACCCGCATGGGAGTCACATGTAACCCCGTCGGGATCGGGAGGATCTTCCTCCATTTTATTTTAACTACTTACATATATATACAACAACACAATTATTAAATACTTACGGATTTATAACTACTAAAACCAACACCACCAGAAATAGTAAACAAAAAAGTAAATCAACAGCTCTCAGAAGTACGAAATAGCCTAAAACAGAACGACACTTGTACACCTCACACCATCCGAGCACGTTCTCCCAAAAACGTTGTTGCCCATAAATGACATTCTATTTCGCATTATTTCAAATAAAAATAGAAGCCTTATTTATTCGTATTTTCAAAAAATGTTTTTTTTTTAAATATGGCTACTGTTTGAAAAGTAAGGCTGTATATAGAGGAGGCCTGTCTGTGCCTGTCTGTACCTGTCCGACGAGGCGGTCGGCGCGGCAGAGCGTGGGCTCGATGCGCGTGCCGACGCCGATGAGGCCGCCGGGCACGGCGTACTGCAGCTCGTTCTGTCACGTTGCATATAGATATATAGAGGAGGCCTGTCTGTGCCTGTCTGTACCTGTCCGACGAGGCGGTCGGCGCGGCAGAGCGTGGGCTCGATGCGCGTGCCGACGCCGATGAGGCCGCCGGGCACGGCGTACTGCAGCTCGTTCTGTCACGTTGCATATAGATATATAGAGGAGGCCTGTCTGTGCCTGTCTGTACCTGTCCGACGAGGCGGTCGGCGCGGCAGAGCGTGGGCTCGATGCGCGTGCCGACGCCGATGAGGCCGCCGGGCACGGCGTACTGCAGCTCGTTCTGTCACGTTGCATATAGATATATAGAGGAGGCCTGTCTGTGCCTGTCTGTACCTGTCCGACGAGGCGGTCGGCGCGGCAGAGCGTGGGCTCGATGCGCGTGCCGACGCCGATGAGGCCGCCGGGCACGGCGTACTGCAGCTCGTTCTGTCACGTTGCATATAGATATATAGAGGAGGCCTGTCTGTGCCTGTCTGTACCTGTCCGACGAGGCGGTCGGCGCGGCAGAGCGTGGGCTCGATGCGCGTGCCGACGCCGATGAGGCCGCCGGGCACGGCGTACTGCAGCTCGTTCTGTCACGTTGCATATAGATATATAGAGGAGGCCTGTCTGTGCCTGTCTGTACCTGTCCGACGAGGCGGTCGGCGCGGCAGAGCGTGGGCTCGATGCGCGTGCCGACGCCGATGAGGCCGCCGGGCACGGCGTACTGCAGCTCGTTCTGTCACGTTGCATATAGATATATAGAGGAGGCCTGTCTGTGCCTGTCTGTACCTGTCCGACGAGGCGGTCGGCGCGGCAGAGCGTGGGCTCGATGCGCGTGCCGACGCCGATGAGGCCGCCGGGCACGGCGTACTGCAGCTCGTTCTGTCACGTTGCATATAGATATATAGAGGAGGCCTGTCTGTGCCTGTCTGTACCTGTCCGACGAGGCGGTCGGCGCGGCAGAGCGTGGGCTCGATGCGCGTGCCGACGCCGATGAGGCCGCCGGGCACGGCGTACTGCAGCTCGTTCTGTCACGTTGCATATAGATATATAGAGGAGGCCTGTCTGTGCCTGTCTGTACCTGTCCGACGAGGCGGTCGGCGCGGCAGAGCGTGGGCTCGATGCGCGTGCCGACGCCGATGAGGCCGCCGGGCACGGCGTACTGCAGCTCGTTCTGTCACGTTGCATATAGATATATAGAGGAGGCCTGTCTGTGCCTGTCTGTACCTGTCCGACGAGGCGGTCGGCGCGGCAGAGCGTGGGCTCGATGCGCGTGCCGACGCCGATGAGGCCGCCGGGCACGGCGTACTGCAGCTCGTTCTGTCACGTTGCATATAGATATATAGAGGAGGCCTGTCTGTGCCTGTCTGTACCTGTCCGACGAGGCGGTCGGCGCGGCAGAGCGTGGGCTCGATGCGCGTGCCGACGCCGATGAGGCCGCCGGGCACGGCGTACTGCAGCTCGTTCTGTCACGTTGCATATAGATATATAGAGGAGGCCTGTCTGTGCCTGTCTGTACCTGTCCGACGAGGCGGTCGGCGCGGCAGAGCGTGGGCTCGATGCGCGTGCCGACGCCGATGAGGCCGCCGGGCACGGCGTACTGCAGCTCGTTCTGTCACGTTGCATATAGATATATAGAGGAGGCCTGTCTGTGCCTGTCTGTACCTGTCCGACGAGGCGGTCGGCGCGGCAGAGCGTGGGCTCGATGCGCGTGCCGACGCCGATGAGGCCGCCGGGCACGGCGTACTGCAGCTCGTTCTGTCACGTTGCATATAGATATATAGAGGAGGCCTGTCTGTGCCTGTCTGTACCTGTCCGACGAGGCGGTCGGCGCGGCAGAGCGTGGGCTCGATGCGCGTGCCGACGCCGATGAGGCCGCCGGGCACGGCGTACTGCAGCTCGTTCTGTCACGTTGCATATAGATATATAGAGGAGGCCTGTCTGTGCCTGTCTGTACCTGTCCGACGAGGCGGTCGGCGCGGCAGAGCGTGGGCTCGATGCGCGTGCCGACGCCGATGAGGCCGCCGGGCACGGCGTACTGCAGCTCGTTCTGTCACGTTGCATATAGATATATAGAGGAGGCCTGTCTGTGCCTGTCTGTACCTGTCCGACGAGGCGGTCGGCGCGGCAGAGCGTGGGCTCGATGCGCGTGCCGACGCCGATGAGGCCGCCGGGCACGGCGTACTGCAGCTCGTTCTGTCACGTTGCATATAGATATATAGAGGAGGCCTGTCTGTGCCTGTCTGTACCTGTCCGACGAGGCGGTCGGCGCGGCAGAGCGTGGGCTCGATGCGCGTGCCGACGCCGATGAGGCCGCCGGGCACGGCGTACTGCAGCTCGTTCTGTCACGTTGCATATAGATATATAGAGGAGGCCTGTCTGTGCCTGTCTGTACCTGTCCGACGAGGCGGTCGGCGCGGCAGAGCGTGGGCTCGATGCGCGTGCCGACGCCGATGAGGCCGCCGGGCACGGCGTACTGCAGCTCGTTCTGTCACGTTGCATATAGATATATAGAGGAGGCCTGTCTGTGCCTGTCTGTACCTGTCCGACGAGGCGGTCGGCGCGGCAGAGCGTGGGCTCGATGCGCGTGCCGACGCCGATGAGGCCGCCGGGCACGGCGTACTGCAGCTCGTTCTGTCACGTTGCATATAGATATATAGAGGAGGCCTGTCTGTGCCTGTCTGTACCTGTCCGACGAGGCGGTCGGCGCGGCAGAGCGTGGGCTCGATGCGCGTGCCGACGCCGATGAGGCCGCCGGGCACGGCGTACTGCAGCTCGTTCTGCTCCGCGAACAGCGACACGATGCGCGAGAAGATCGGCTGGCACGTCAGCCGCCCCTCCGCGTCCTTGCTCACCAGCCCCGGCCGCACCTGACACCGGTTCACGTTACACTCACTGTTACACTCATGCTGCAGCTACACTAGTATAAATACCATGTAGCCATGATACGGCAAATAATGTATGTATCTACAGCATAGCAAGTAAGTAACGTAAAATAATTATGAAATGTTTGGGCACTTTTTGTCTTTTTTTTTTTAGGTATGATTCTAAAAAGTATAAACATACAAATTAATTTTTTAATTAATAAAAAAATTAAGTCATTCATAAATTAGAGCATCTACCCATAGAAATGAAGTGAATCATTGACAGATTTCATAAAGGGAGAAGTAAATTTATTAGAAAAGTGTAGAGATTCATGTTTCTTTATGAAATATTAGTTATAATATTAAAATTATATAACGCATCTGCAATTCCCCTGGTTCCCCTAGTGTTGCAGTTGTTCATGGGCGGCGGTAGTCACCATCAGGTGAGCCGCATTCTCGTTTGCCCCCTCTCCTATAAACAAATAACGGCCACTCTTATGGTTGAATTTCGCGTTTATTCAAGAAATAACCATAATAGAGGCGTAGTATTAACAGAAATTACGCTCATGTACCTATAAACAATTTGTAGCGTTACCGGCAGGCCTGCCTGATAGATTGCCTGATATCAAGGCCAAGAGGAAATTTGCAAAAATTAGATTACTTTCAACGCAAAAGGAATACACTAACATTAAATATGACATTTTGTTGCCATATCAAAAATATAGTTGCATTGATAATATCTTTTTTAAAGTTTTCATAATCATCATCTGTACAATGTATTAAAGTCCATTGCTAATCATAGGTGTCCCCAAGATTTTTACATAGGTGGGGTATGCCATAATTCTACACCTTTTAATAAATGGTATCAAACATGGCTTTAAGGGAAAATCTATATTTTTTTTTTAAAAACTATCTATTTTTCTACTATCGTAAGTACCTGATGTAATAATTGATTTTAATCTAACTTCCCGATTTTCCGATTGGAAACTTGAAATTTTAAATATAACTCAAATTCAGATGACAATGCAAGAATATGATATAAAAAGGTGGCAAAATTAAAAAAAAAATAACTTGGCTTGCTAGTTTTAATTCAAGAAAACTTACTTCAATTTCCATTCCAACAGTGAGCACGCCCTGAAGTATGGAACCACCGGCGACTCCACCCCGGAGGTCGTCAACTTCACAACCAGGTTTGTTTACGTCAAATGAACGGATCACTATCATCCTCGGTGGCGACGTGAAATCTCGTAGTGGCACCGGAATCTTCTTTGTTATGTACTCGCACAGGACCTATTAGAAAATTAAGACTTTATACAAAGGTCAGACTTTTATTTAGGCTTGTTAAGAACATCAAAAATCTACAAAAGTTTGGACCTTCCCAGAGAAGAATCGGTAAGAAACCTGGGGGTCTTTGATTTTTTTTAAATGCCCTGTACAATTTTGTTTACAAATATCATAAATTTATAGGTACATAATATTTTATCTGTCAGGGACGTACCAAATGGAAGTCCGTAGCCTCTGCCTATTCCTCTGGGTGATAAGCGTGAGTGTTTATGATAATGATAATATTTTCGAAAATAAACAACAAGTAATAGATTGTCCGTATCACTTGCTTTTTCATATTGAATTTGAATACTGCTACCAATCCGGCTGCAGATTCCTACAGTAATACACTATATGACATGATACTTTGAAAGTAAGTAAAATTAAGTAATTGTTTCATCAGTCAGCAGTAGTCAGAAAATTGCAGAACTTAAATTTGAAGCTAGTTTATCAATATAGCATCTATTGATAAACTAGCTTTAAGTTCCTACCAGGGTTAGGAATCAAAATAAATTCTGGGAAACGTGGTCGAAATTTTAAAATCCATATTAATATTTTGTTAATTAAGTACACGATTCTGCAACAGCTTACTTAATTTAACATTTAACAAGTGTTAAATATAAGATTTGATTTTTTATTTATTTCAGTCATGGTACTTATAACTTTTAGGATTTTTTTTTTGCATTCATAAGAAAAATATTATCTACAAACCACTTGGAAACAATATCCAGCAATTAGTTGGGTAGTTCCAGTAAAATCGTTTAATTTAACTTTAAATAACAATGGGGCATTGTAAACAAACTATTTTTGTACCAAACGTGGAAGCTCATTTATGTAGACCAAGACCAAAAGTACAAAGTACAAAATATTAATTCCTGAGGTCTGCACCATTTACCACAATATTTGCTCTCTGTTTGAGACATATATGACGACCAGTAAAGTTTAGAGACAACATTACGAATGCCATAGTATTGAAGTTTATAACTTAAAGTTTTATGATACATCACCAATTATCTATACAAATAAATAAAATTGAAGTGTCTGTTTGTAATGTCAAAATAACAGCTTATTACTAAATGCATATGAAAGTATATACAGTACTTATAACAAAAACACAATTTTTAAAATTTTTATCTGATTGTTTATCTGTCTGTCTGTTTGTTCCGGTTAATCTCTGAAACGGCTGGACCGATTTCGACGAGCCTTTCACTGGCAAATAGCTGACGTTATAAGGAGTAACTTAGGCTACTTATATTTTAGAAAAAGAATTAGGGTTCCGCGCAAAATAATTAAAACCCTAAATTATACGCGGGCGAAGTCGCTAGGACCAGCTAGTATTAAATATTATTTAATATTGTCACAACATAAAGTGAATCTAAAGTAATGCCAATGACACGATATAAACAATGTAAATATTCCTCTGACTTTTACCGAGTTAAATTATGGCTCCAAATGATTAATCAGATTAGGAGGCATTTTGTCGTAAATACACCTGAAAGCTTGATTCCTTGACGCTGATCTTTGTTGCGTCGGCGATGTTAAATAAATGTATATGTATTGAATTGCCAGGCTCACACTACCACTATATCTAGCATAATTGTAATATCTTTTAACAATATTAGTGTAATTAATTTTATTTTAATTTTAATATTTGACTCACCTCAATGTTATATTTTAACTGAGCAGAAATAGGGATAATTGGAGATCCTTCCGCAACTGTGCCTTGTACGAACTTCACGATTTGTTCATGTTGCTCCTTGGCTTGTCCTTCCTTCACAAGATCTATTTTGTTCTGGAGGATGAGTATATGTTTCAATTTCATAATCTCTATAGCTGCTAAATGTTCACTTGTCTGCGGTTGGGGGCAGGATTCGTTACCTGCACCAAAATTTTATAAATTAAATCTGTTGTTTGCATTGAACTCAAAAAGTTTTACTTGTGTGACTAATCTGTACATACATACATACATATAAATAAAATTGTAGTCTTTCTGTAAAATCGAAATAACTGGTATTTATTGAGCTCAGAGTATAGCTAAGTTATTTGCATTCTATTAAGACTATTTTTAAAATGTCTGTCCGTCTGGGCTAATCTTAAAAAATATTCATGACACTACATTAATAGATCCCACCCATAACGTAGCGCAAGTAAGTCCGTAGCGATGAGACGGATCTGACTCAGGTCGGCATCTTCAAAGGTGCGGTAAGCTTGTGCAAGGCAAGAGCATCCGTGTAAACAGGCACAAGCTAGTCAAAACCTGTATATTTAAAACTGCTATACATGTTGTCCAAGCGAAGGCGAGTACCAGCGTATAGACTGCCCATTTGTCTAGCCTCTTTGCTCCTTTGTCCCTTTGCTCGTCGTGGCTCGCCTAGCTGGCCGAGTGCAGGCGAGCGCCAACGTGTATACGGGTCGTTTGGCGTGCCTTGCCACCACTCGGGATCGCTCGCTACGACTCGTCTCACTTCGGAACAATGTCGGCTTTTCTGCACAAATCAAAAGCGCTCGCCTGCTCTCGGCAAGTACATCGCGTCTACATGTTAGTCGGCCATGTCAATTATGGGCCTATACACCATCGGCCATGATTGACAACCACAGAATGGGACATGTTTGTCATGGGTCCTATACACAATCATTTCACAATCATTGCGCGGCTAGGCGCACGATAATGGCCGAACTTCCTTTGTCCAAAATCATCAATTTGCAGTGATACTGCATAGCATACTCTTACTGAATCGATAACCATTCTCTTACTAAAAAAATGTACCCGGTATTGGCTGTGAAATGTATGTAGATTTTTCCCTGTCAATACTTGCCGGCGATAAGTAACAGCGCTGCGTCCATGACAGCGGCTCCGTTCAACATTGTTGCCATGAGAATGTCGTGACCGGGGCAGTCCACGAAGCTAACATGGCGGACAAGTTGGAAACGACCCGTGCAAGCGGGGCGGAGACACGGGAAGTTGTCGTCCTTGGACGAACTACCAGAGATGTAGCTGGTTGGTCGCGGACATTTCGGATTGTCGCATTTGTAGATTTTTGCGTTGGCGTATCCTAAATAAAAAAAAGTATATATTAATGCATTTAAAGGTTGAATATAAATACTGTTGTGTGGTTGTAAAAAAAATTCTATATAGCATTTTTTTACCCCACATCTACTCAAAATAACAACAAAATATTGTACAACCGACTTCAATATAAATTATTTAGTGTAACTCAAAAACTACTGGTCAGTTTTATATGTTTAAGTTTATATGGGACCACATGAGAAGCACCAGCTTTCAAATAAAAAAAGAATTTTCCAAATAGGTTTAGGCGTGTTCGAGTAATCGTTGAACATACATTAAAAAAAATATTCCGACGAATTGAGAACCTCCTCCTTTTTGAAGTCGGTTGATAAAATTAATAATATAAATTAATATACGTATTTATATATAGAAATATATAGAAACTTTTTTATTCAATATAGATTATAAATTATAATTATTGAAAGTCTCACTCTTAGATTTAATTTACCACTGTTTTGGAAAATACCTCTGACCTGGGTCAGACTACCAGCAAGAAACCCAGCGGGACTTTTTTGTGGTAATAATAAACACTTACAAGGCAAATGATTTGGTTCTCTCTTACAAAAATAAACAAAGCTGGTAATTGTTTGGGTTGTGATGTAGCCAAGTTGAAATCAATAAATCAAAAAATACTTTTGAGGTATTCATAGTAGTTACATGATATCAATAGTAGCAAGCACATGGTAGTGAAACAAAAATAAACAAATTTTATTTGTCATTTAATTTTATTATAGAACTACAGTTACAGTAGATTAATACATTTATATTATTATTATCGCCTCCATGCAACACTTCAATATTTTAAACTAAGAAAAAACTGTGTACTTATAATTAACAAGTAAAGACTAAAACTATTATTTACCTAATTAATACCAAATGTGTCGTAAAATATTTTAAAAATAACTATAAAATAATCAAGGTTTACTTGTGAATGTTATACAATAATGAAGTTAACTTGAAACTACAAATAATACTATAACATAATAACCGTTTATAACATGATAAAATTTAAATGGTACAAGGGGTATTAAGAGCACACTAATATAAAATAATATTTTCTTAAATTCTATCCTCATTGTCTTAAAAAAACATTTATATTTAACCAAGTAAAGCAAGCTATACTTTTCTTTACACATGGTTTTATGAATTTATGAAATCCAGGACAAATTAACAAATCACATTTTAAGAAAATTTATATTTATTTCATTATGATGTTGAAAACATTCTAGAAATACACAGAGACAAAAATTATCAAGTACGAGAACACCCTAAGTTTGATTTTCAATGCAGACACTAAATAACTTATTGATTGCAATTACAGTACTTTATTTACTGGTATACTCAGTAGTGCAAGGAAACATTTAAATAAATCTTACTTGTAATTGAAGTACATGATGTAAAACTCATCTGAGCTTGAGCACATTCAATTATTTAGAAAAAGATGAACGGACTTTAAATCTATTTGGATTTGTTTCAAATTTATTCGAGACCACAGTGAAAGTGATACTCTATTAGTAATAAAAAAATGCACTGAAAAGTTTACTAATTTTGAACACTATGTATGTATGTATAAAAATGTATTAACAGTTTCCCTGCCTGCAAAAAAGACACAATAGTTAAACAATCAAAATGTTCATATGTGACTTACTGGACAGTGAAATTGTTAAAATACAAAATACAGTATAATTTGGGTTCTTTCGCTATTTTGAAGGCTAATGGAATATGAATAGGTCTTAACACTGAAGCAACATAGTGGTTGTTTATATTCACCTTTAGGCCTATGTCCACAAGAGAGACATTTAAAGGAAGTTAAAAACTGACAGTAGAGATATGTTTAGCAAGAAAATTTCTTAATGTTATTGCATTTTGTATAGCACCCTATCAGTTAAATAAAAAGAAAAATAAGGCACTATATAGACTTTTAGTAAATTCACAAGATTGAAACTATTCCATTTAAACAATAATAGAAAATATATGTGAGTATTCATCAACGAAGTGCTGTTAAAAAATCATAAAATCGAGATTCAATACATGAAGTTGAAAGAAGCCAAACATGAGTTTTAAGGTACACACAAGTTCATGAGTTCATCAAGCAAAGATATATCTATATCAAAAAAGATATTTTCTGCATTTTAAAGCTCCACATTTACATTCAGTACGATTTCTAAGTGAGGTAATATTTTGTTGTTTTATTTCAAACCTTGATTTTGATGGTGAAGCAGGCTCTAATCCACTGCCTTCGGCAGTATTTGGACTATCTCTACATACTACATCTTCTTTCACAATGTCCCCATTTAACACCCCATTTGAGTGAATATCATCATTAGGCAATTTTTGTGATGAATTATTTATTTCTAGATCATCATTTTCAGATGATTTTTGTAAATAATCAAAACAAATTTCTTCCCCTGCCTCGATATCACGAGTTGCAAACAAAGCTAACATGGGCAGATTAGGATCCAAACAATCAGCCCATACAGCCCAAACTCCCAAGTTAGGATCACAAGAATGATTAATAAAATGTGACACATTTCCTAAATGTGCCGCATCAACAACATATGGATTTTCAACAGAATTAAAATCAAGATCAAATAAGTAAGTCAATCCATTAGCATCATATTCTCTTCCCCTTTTTTCAGCTTCTTCAAAAGTTATAACTTCCCCAACATACTGACACAAAAATTGTCCTTGTTTTATTTTCTGTTCAGTTCGAACACCCCATCCACAGCCATTTGATGTTCGAAAAATAGTTAGTTTAACATTCCTACCCCTTTGAACAACCCGATTATTGCAATCTGAGGTACATTTACAAGCTTTATTGCATTCATAAATAGGTGTACCAGATGCTACACGTAACCTTTTGTTGTAAGTGTATGCAAAGATTCCACCTTGCATACCGCAACATGACTTTGATCGACAGTTGCAGATAGTGCATTCACAACCAATTGGAGGATTTTCAGGAATAACTACACCAACCCCAGGTATAGAATGATTAATGTATGTAAAATTTTCTGGTGGTCCTGCAAAGTCAACATTATTTTCTATACATAATCTCTTACAATCATCTACATGATTCAAATGTTCCTCCCATTCTTGAAGAGCCATAAGTTGACGACATCTCCGTCTTACAGACACATATAACTGCAATAAATTTCTACTATCTTGTACAAGTTCTGTAGCATGGCATTCATCACAATCTCTTAGCATAATCATACACAAAAGTTTTAATGTAAGTTTTTCTCTTAATTTACAAATTGTAGATTCTTCAACTTCATCCATTCTTTTTAAAAGATTTTCTTCACTTAATAAATTATCAAAAGAAATTTCTTCCTTAAGTTTTTCCATCATTTCACAATGTTGGATTTCCTTATTCATCAAAAAATTTTTGAGAATATCTGGACAATTGTCTAAGTGATCAATGGGTTCCCATGTATTTTCACTTTCAGGCCATCCCTTCCACTTTATATAGAAATACTCACTTCCATCTTCAAATTTAAAATCAATTATTTTTTCTATAATAAATTCTTCTGCTTTTTGTTTATATTTCCTTTGTTTCTTTACAGGAGGCACATCATTTGCAAACTCCGACTCTGGTGATATTGCTCTTTTTCTAGACCTCCTTACTTTTTCGTAAAATAAATTTTCATTCTTCTCATCAGCCATATCACGATACAATCTTATAACCGAGTCGGACAGGCGCTCTGCAACATACCATGTGATTGAATTAACAACTGATTTAATAATTAACTTCTCAGTTCACAAATTATAATAATAAATATTTAAGATTTGCAACTACTAATGATTTTTTATTCACATGGTACATTGCAAAGATCTGTTTTTTTTTTTAATATTAGGTTACAAATTTACATAAGCCTAAAATATTTACTTAAAATACTATTGAATTTTTGTTAGCTTTATTGTAAACTATGAAAATATTGGTTTGGTCTCACTATTTTTGTTGAAAAATAAGATAAGCAATCTACAAAAAATAACAGTGCAAGTAACAGGTAATAATGTAGTAATAATGAATAAAATGATATAACTAAGGACTAACAAAATTTATAATATTTATGCAATACAGTATAAAATTTGGTGTACCACATTGCAAAGATCTTTTTTTTTTTAAATAATAGGTTAATAATTTACTTATGCTTAAAAATAATTACTTAAAATACTGTTGATTTTTTTTAGCTTTATTGTAAAATGTATCAAATATCATATATTGGATTATTACTTATCATAAGTTTGGTCTCACTTTTTAGATGAAAAATAAGCAACCTACAAAAAATAGCAGTGCAAGTAACAGGTAACAATGTAGTAATAATAAATAAAATGATATAACTAAGGACTAAAAATGTTTATAATTTTCACACAATACAGTATAAAATTAGGTATCGGAATTGCTCTTTAAAAATAGATTTAGTTAGTAGCATTGAAAATTAGGAGCGTAATTAGTAATTATTTAAATTGTGTGGCACCAAACTTACCTAACTTAATCGTAATGTTCCTTTCAAGTTCGTTTTTAAATCTGACGGTTTGGACGCCTGATATGGCTTTTACAACTGTGGACTTTCCATGAGCTACATGTCCAATAGTCCCAATGTTGATAGTAGCTTGTCTTGATATTACTTCAGGAGATAAAGCAGACAACTTTGTAACATCCTTAAAATCAAAGAAACTCAATTAATCTCTTATATGTAATCAGCCAAAAGGTAAATTTTACTGTATGCTAGTAGTATGCTAGGTTATGTGACATCACAAATAAATGTTTATATTTCACAAATTATCGGAGGTAAAGTAATGAAATATTTCATAAAGAATATTCTATATCTAATTTTAACAACAAAAAAAAGATTCAATCAGCTTACCAATTTAGAAAGATCTTGCTGATGCAAGTTCGACTGTGCACTTCGCCCTTCACTTGCAGACATGTTCGGGGTTTTAACAAAATGTTAATTATAGTAGAAAATTTAATTAATAACTATACATTCAAGATAATAATTAAAGTTTTTCGTTTATTTCGTTAAAAACTTAAAAACAACACGATTTTGTACTATGTCGTACTCTGACATAAACGTGCCGCGCGCAGCACCAGAGAAAGTAGGCTTGGGCGCTTGGGCAAAAAATATCGAAATATCGATATATATCATCGATGTTTAAAATCGCAATATATCGATATTTATATTAGAGTATCGAATTCGTCAAAAAACAAAAGGAGGTACAAAAATATTCAAGTGTGGTTGGTTGTCTTTTTTTCTCGTCATCCAAACATCAGTAATATAAAATTTTGTATCTTATCTTTACATCATGCAAATGATGACGATATATCGATATTTATCACGCGAAATATGTCGATACTGTTTAAAAATATCGATTCGATATATATCGATATATTTTTCTCTTTGCCCATCCCTAAGAGAAAGCTATACAATAGATTAAATTTTTTTTTTAAATTTATTCGTGACCATGGTTGCGAGGACCTTCAGTCGGAAACATTACAGTATAACACAAATCATACATCAAATTAAGAATATTTAACTTTAGCAATAACAATTTAGAATGGTTTTCCATCATTTTCCTACTTTTTTCCCTATTATATAAATATAGAACAGACTAAATTACAAAATAAGCTAAGAAACTATTTATAAACATTATCAATTAATTAAGGACACATAAATAATTAAAGTTTTCCTACAGTATTAAGTATAAATTTAAATAGAGGCATGAAAAAAGCTACATCAGTTAATAGATCCTGAACGCGGCGGGGAAAACTTATAGAATTTTCTTCAGCGACATCACTAATTTCACTGACAAGTGTCAACCTTTGAATCCCAAACGATGGGCACTGGAAAATTGTGGTTTATGTCTGCATTATGTTGAGCGCAATGTGTGCATTTGTCATCAGCTACGATCTTCATTCTGTACAGATGTGCAGGGACGAGGCAATGGCCAAACCGCAAGCGGTTAATGGTCGTTATGAACTTTCGGCCTGTGTATTTAAAGCGGTTGTACCACGGAATCGTTGGTAAGTCTGGCTGTAATTCTGCGTACCATTTTCCCTTATTCACGGTAGTAATGTTCCAGTAATCCTTCCACAGTTTCTTTGACAAGATTTTAAAGTGTTGATAATAATCTGTGAAGGGGACTTTACAATCTTGTGTTTGGTCTTCGTGGTGATCTTGCCGCGTCGCCTGATCCACTATCTCATTTCCGACTATGCCACTGTGTGAGGGAACCCATAAGAATTCTATACATTTTCCAATCGTTTGCAGTTTATCCTTAATTTTATACAAAATATAATTCTGTTTATATACTAAATTACAGTTACATAAAGCAGATAAAACACTTTTAGAATCACTAACTATCAAGATATTTACACTATTTACATTGGTATTTACATACGACAAAGCAGCTAATATAGCCCAACTTTCTGCTGTAAAAATACTACAATTACTTGGCAACTTAATACATTTAATAACTTTCATTTGTGGGTCATAAAATGCTGCTTTAACAAGATCACTCTTGGAGCCATCAGTATATATAGTGTAAAAGTCTTTCTTTTCATTTAAAAATTCTAAGAATTCATTCTTAGTACTAACCGAATTTAAATGACATTTTATATCAAGATAATTAAGTAATGTATCATATGGGCATTTGTAAATAGGCCACTTGTTACTGATGTACATATCTCTTGTCTGATTCTTTACACAAGTTGTTATTGTTGTTATTTCAGGCAATGTACCCGAAATAAGAGTATTAGCCGAGATGTTGGCTGTTCCATTTAACTGGGAGACTTCTGCAGGATATAAAATATTACTCAGGACAATATCATTGTCACAAGACAACTCCTTCAGACAGAATCTTTCAGCCAACTGCAAACGCCGCAAGGACAATGGAGGTATGCAATTTTCAACTTCCATAGAAACAATAGGAGTGGTGCGCATGGCTCCACTGATTATTCTCAGACCCATATTCTGTATCACATCCAATTTTCTTAACAATGTGCTACTAATATTCATGTAAGCTAGAGCTATAGTCAAAGTGACTCCTTACAATACTTTTATACAGCATGCTAAGTGTTTTTGGATCAGACCCCCAAAAGGTTCCTGCTAAGCTTCTTAGTACATTTATGCTCTTCATGGCATTCTGACAGATATAGTTGATATGCTTATCAAATTTCAGTTTATCATCTAGCACAACTTCTAAAAATTTATGATGATTGGCTATACGAATTGTATCATTATTATAGTTAATTTTAATTCCAGAGTTTACAAATGTGTCTTTACTGAATACTAAAACTTTACTTTTCTCAGAACTTATTTCTAATTTTAAAATGTTGCTATAATAAAGATGCAATTGTGCCAATGCAGTATTAATTCTATTAATTGCTGTATTTATATTCTGGTTTTCACTGTATAAAAGTAAGTCGTCTGCAAACTGTAATATTTTAACTTGTGATGTATCTACATAATTAAGTATCTGAGATGTGTATAAATTATATAACAAAGGTGAAAGTGTCGCTCCCTGCATTGTTCCTATGTTAACAGGCCTAGGTCCATGTAGTTTATTGTTAAATTTAACAAAAAGAGTCCTATCATGCAAGAAATTTAAAATCCAGATTAGTACATTTCTTGGCAAGCTCAATTCATGCAAAACTTTTATGAGGCATTCAATATTAACATTGTCAAAGGCACCTTTAACATCTAAAAATACACATATAACATTAGAATGACTAAGTTTGGCCTTTTTAAGTTCCAATATCAGAGATACAAAGCTTTCAGAGCAACTTCTGCCTTTTCTGAATCCAAATTGTATGTGAGGTAGTTTATCCTGTGTTTCAGCAAAATAATCTAGACGAACTTTAACATGTTTTCAAAAAGCTTACCTAAACATGATGACAAAGAAATAGGTCTGTATGATGATGGATCATTAGCAGCTTTATTTGGCTTTAAAATGGGGATTACACATTGGGTTTTCCATGACTCTGGTATAGCTAAATTATTCCAAAGTTTATTATAAATATTTAATAACATTTCTTGCGCATTAGGATGTAATTTTTTATTAACATATATGGTATGCTGTCCAACCCTGGTGTTGTATCTTTCCTACTTTTGAGTGCTATATACAATTCATTTAGTGTGAATGGTCTATTGAGAAATGAGTTACTTTCATTTTCAACAGATTGATCTAAAATATCATTCAAATAATCTTCATTTAACTGTGATGAGTCTGTTATGTTGTCTAAGAAGCTTGGTATCCAATCGTCAGCCAAATATCTGTTATGAGAAGAACCTATCCTTCTAAACCTTTTCATGTAGTTCCATATTCGAGAAATAGGTGTCATTCTATTAAAACTAGTACATAAATTGTGCCATGAATTAATACTTTCTTCTTTTAATATCCTTTTCTTTTGAGCATCAAGTTTTTTGTAGTTAATGAAATTAGGAATACTAGGCGATTTTCTATACTCTTTGAGGGCCTCCTTAGACTTTCGAACAGCATCATCACATGTTTGGTTCCACCAGGGTGCAGGTTTTCTCATTACCCTTAAAGTTTGTTGTGGTGTTTGCTTTGGAACAGTCTCTGCTCTAATATCATACAAAATATTTACAAAATTATTATACAAATCAATAGGTTCGGTACCATGTATTTCTAAATTACAAAATCTCGTTTCTGATAGTTCTTGATATTTAGACCAATCTGCTTTATTATAAATGTATTTTTCTTCCGCAGGACGCACTTCATATACAGAAGGCTTCACATTTAGAGCGACCACAGTTGGGTAGTGGTAACTGCCCATCGGGTTGTCATGGACGTGCCATTCACAAAGAGGAGCTAATGCGGAACTAACCAGAGCTAAATCTATTGCCGACTGATTTCTGTTAGGATACTGGACAGTTGTAGCTATGTCACCATCATTCAGAATACACAAGTCAAAGTCATCAATAAGTGCATATAAACTGTTACCTCTATTATTATTTGTCTGACATCCAAACAGGATATGGTGAGCATTAAAATCTCCCATAATAAGACATGGCTTAGGAGTTTCAAGTAGCACCTTTTTCATTTTGCTTGTAACAGACCTGCTGCTATTGGGAGGACAATAAACACATAGAATATGTAACTTACCCATAGTTGTGTCTACGGAAACGCAAATATTTTGCACAGATTCGAAAAAAGTTGTATTTACAATTGTTCGCGCAAAACTCTGTTGTCGGAATCGACACCAGATGTCACTCGGCTCGGCGCGATTCCGGTCTGAAGTTCTTCCGAGCTTGGCAGTGGCGCGCGGGTCGCAAGCGAGTCAGTCATCGGCCGGATGTGCTAATGTTTGCACGCTGTTAATTTTGTGCGGGAACCGCGGAATAGTTAGGGCGTCTAGTAAATATCCTGTCTAGGAATTATAACGCGCATTCCCTGTTTGGATAGCCTTTCCCGGGACTTATTGGGTCCGACTCAGAATCTGTATAAGTGCATTCGACAATATAAGCTAGTGCGGCCTCTGTATTTAGAATTTATCTATTGCCACGCGAAACGGTAGTGACCTTTGACCCAGAAACTCCGGGCGTGTTTTGTGCGGTAACCTTATACCCCGCGATAGTTAGTGGCTTCTGTAAGCTAGTTAATAGTACGATAGAGTTAAGTGAACTCCGCCAAATTCCTTCCGGTCGACTGGCCGTAGTATAACGCTCCCCCATATATTTAGTGTAATTAGAGAACTTCCACGTGGCCTTAGGAGGCCCGACCTACGTTTGCTCGGGAAGTCTTCTGCTGATGGGCCCCGGGGGATTGGATCCTTTAAGGGAGCAACCGTAGGCCGTAACAAACTGGTAGCAGAGCGTGGTTCCGGGTTCGATTCCCGGTCGATCCCGACTATAGTGTTTGATAAACATTAAACAATTTTGGTGGCAGGGAGCGTTGGTGTGATTGGTTTAATTTGCATCTACAATCACGCCCGTCCGTAATACGTAAAAATATTTTTTTTGTACGTAATAATAGAATTATTTTCCTTTGTTGCTTTGTTGCTTGCCTTTTTTTTGGTTAGAGGGTAATTTGAAAAGCCGCGCCCTAGGTTGTGCAAGCGGGAGAT